ACTCTAAGTATAGTAGTTTCTCCTTATCCACAAGGGATACACTCCAAGACCCACCAATGAGTCGGAAACTGCCGATAGTACCTACATATACTATGTTTTTACCAACATGTACACATCTATGATAAAGCTTAATTTATAAGTTAGGCATGGTAAGCAATTAAGAACAATAACTTATAATCAATAACAGAATAATTACAGCAATGTGCTATAATAAAATTTATGGGAATATGATCTTTCTCTCAAAATATCTTCTCATATCATACTCACCTATTTTCACCATGGTCGACTGTGGGTAATTGAAACCACAGAGAGCAAAATCATGGATAATATTCCAAGACCCCCAGAGGATGCCTGAAAGCACTGACAGTACTGAACATTAATATATACTATGCTTTTTTGATCTGATAACCAAGAAGGTTACTAAGTGACAAATGGGTAGAAAGAGACTACAGCATGGATATGCTGAACAAGGAGATGATTCATGTCCCAGCCAAGATGGTGCAAAATTTCATTGCACTACTCAAAATGGTATGAAATTTAAAACTTATTGTAATTTATAGGAGTTTTACCTGGTCAGCAGAGCTGCAAAAGAAAACTATTCAACAAGAACATTCAGTGTTTCTAAAAATAGTCAACAGAAGAGATAAAGTTATCACTTTCTCACTTTGTGGCCTGTGATGGCCATACTGCAAGCTCTTCTCCTTCATTCTCTTCTTGGGATTTTGAACACGCATGTATATGCACCTGGCATGAGTCTCAAGCCACCAGGTCCAGGACTCAAATCACGGTTGACCATGTGGGAGTCTAGCATCTTAACCAGTACGTCACCTGCTGGTCTCCATAACATTTTAAAAATTCTTCTTATAAATTAGGAGTCGTTTTCTTATTTTCACATTAATTTCACATTTTACATAATGTCCCCACCATGATGTATACTATATAAATTTTTTTCAACAGAGAACTTCACATTTTTCCATATTTTAAATGTTTCCTCTCCTTGCACTTCATACCCAGTTTCCACCACTCACACTCTACTATCCACTCTCCCCTCTTACAGTCTCTAGCATCAATACCCATCCTTTCCACCATCACATCTTCAGATCACTCAACTTCTGCCACATACTACAGATACTTCATTCAAATTGAGTGAGGATATACAATGTTACTGTTCAAAGTCTGGCTCACTTTGCTCATCATTAAGTTTTCTATATTCATACACTTTGAGTCAAATGATAGGATCTCATTGCGTTTAAAGCTGAGTAATATTCCATAATAAAAATGTACCAGTTTTTCAAGCCAGTCAGTTTTTAAACACTTAGGCTGGTACTGTTTTTGTAATTATGAAGACTACTGCAATATCCATAGATGTGTAAATATCTTTCTGACCGAGTATATTCCTATCCTTTGGGTAAATACCAAGGAGTGGGATTACTATGTCTTATGATAGTTCTATTTGTAGGTTTTGGAGGAACCTCCATGTTGTTTTCTGCAAATGTTATACTAATTTACATTCCCACCAACAGTATCAGAGGGTTCCCTTTCACCACAGCTTTACCAGCACTTATCATTCTTCATTTTTTTTTATCATAGCCATTCTAACCATGGTTGAATATCTCATTGTGGCTATGATCTGCTTTTCCCTTATGATAAGAGACTTTGAACACTTTTTCATGTACCTAAAGAAGATATACAAATGGTCAAAAGGTATATCTCTTTTGTATATCATTTTGTATATCTTTTGTATATCTTCTTTAGAGAGTTGTCTATTTATTTGTCCATTTGGGCATACAAATTATTTTATGGGCGTTTGCTTTTAGACATTAAGGAAAATTTAAGAATTGGCTCACTGGAAAAGTCATGACACATTTTTGTATAAAAAAACATAGACAAATAGATCATGACTTTTCGGATAACTCAATATTTTCTAAGAACATTAAATAACTTGACCAAAGCATGTCAGACCTAGAAGGAGACTTGCAGGTTACTGCAGAGTTCATGGAAATCATCTTACAAATAAAAGACCCTACCCAGAGCATAGGATTTGCCCACTGACATTCACAGCAGTAATAGAATCCCCAGTCCTCACTCATTCCAGAGCTATTCAAACTTTCCATAGGCCTTAGGAGTTGTGAAACAAGAAATGTTATGTTTGAGTCTTTTGTATGATAATATGAAATAAATGTTAAATTAGAAGCAGTCCACTTGCTATTTAACATTCCTATTTGACAGCCAGCAGGTGGCAGAGTGGTTAAAGCACTGAACTCTCACATGGTAAAATGAGGTTCAAGTCCTGGACCTGGCAGCTTGAAACTCATACTGGGCACTTGTGAGTGTGTGCCCAAAGCGGAGAGTAGAAGGGAGGAGAAGGGATTGTGACATGGTCATCCTCTCTGGGGGGGGGAGGGTGAGTGTGATTTCTTGCTTTCTGTTTGTCTCTCTGGTGAGCATACCCACCATAATAGCAAAAATCTCTCAAAAAATAAAGAAATAAAAAAATAAAATTCTATATGAGGGGTTAGCAGGTGGCATGTTGTTCAAGGTGTTGGACTCCTACATAGCCAACAGCAATATGGGTCCTGGACCCAGAGGCTTGAAAATCACATCAGGGCATGTGTGCCCAAAATTCTAAGAGGACAAAGGAGGAAAAGGGATTACAGTGTGGCCATCCTCCCTAGGGGGTGAGGGATGATTTCTTACTTTCCCTCTCTCTGTTCCTCTCCAGCGGCTGCATATACCCTATGACAAAAACCTATAAATAAATTAATTAACTAAAATAAAATAAAATTGTTATTCAACTGCCAGAATATCTGAATAGGTTCTTCTTGACTGTGCCATAGAATGAATTAAGATCTAGAGACTCTAGTTCATCATGGAACACAGTATCCTTAGCTAAATCTTCAACATTACCTTACAAGAGGTGTTTCTCAGTGTCACCCAAGGATCACTAACATTAGATTCACTTGAAGTAGTCCTTAAAATGGAAAATTTCCTGCCTCCATTCTAAGCAGTTTTTCTAATTTCATTCATTCTCTGAAAATGAGTCATCAAAATACGATTTTTTTTACAAGCATACGTGGTGACTTTTAGGCACATTAGAGTTTGAATATTACTAGGCTAAATGATTTTTGGTCTCTAGACCTTCAGCCCTCAGCTATCTGTTGCAAATGGAATCTGTGGCAGATTATAAAGGAGAGTTCTTCTGATTAGAGTATGTCATAAAAAACTAAGTCAAAGGAGAGCAAGATGGTGGCACAGTGGTAAAACGCAATGCTCTGCAAGGTTATTCCACATGAAAAGGTTCCCAGTTCAAGTCTGAAGACATCCCTGAGTATGCTGGGCACACACTTGCCTATGATCTGTAGTTAGGTGAAGGCTAGGAGTGGATCATGGCATTGGGACCATTTTGGGGGTGCTGTCTCTGTCTGTCTCTCTTTTGCTCATGGAAAAAAAATGGAAAAAATAAATAAATGATCCTAATGTGAAGGTAAAGTAAATGTAGCCTTTAGTTCAACAAATGTTATTACTGTACTACCATTCCTATTTTTTTTTAAACAAACACAAACTCTGCAAATTCTTCATGTCACTGAGATTAACATGTGGAACTGGAATGGGGCCTAAATAGGGTAAAAGATCTAAGCAAATAAGCACCAAACAAGCAATTCATTATCTAGCTTTCTGTCAAGGGAACATACTTTTGCTTCAAAATGAATGCATAAGAAAATATAACGTTAACAGTCATAAAGACAACTATTCCCACATGAACTTCCAAGTAGTTCTTCATGAACAAAGATATGAATATTTTAGGTCTTTAGGGACAGAATTTTCAGTGTAGATTATTACATTTCATTTACCTTTCTGTTAAAGTGCTAAACGTGCTTTATAAGTATCTTAAATCATGTGTCAATTTTATCTTACACTATACAAGTACTTTTCTAAAGCAAACCCACTCAGTACTATGTGTTTCTAAAGTTGAGTGTTTCTTTCACCAACCAACATAAAAATACTAGTTATACTATAACTAGTCTATGAGAAGTTATCAGACATTTTATGCCGCTTAGACTATATAAAATTATTGTAAAATTAAACAACTGAAAGTTCATGTTGTTTAATCTCCTAGTTCAAGATATTAAAATATTTTATGACCCCCAACAATGATATTTCTTTATGTACGCCTAAAAACAGTCACCAAAGAAACATGTCAGTTGACGCTTAGATAAATAACAATAAAAAAAAACAAACACCAATTTAAACAGCTCCTAAAACTTGATCATGTTAATTCATTTAAGTTTCAATGTAAAATCAAGAAATCATAGAATAATATTATATTTAGTGCAATTCAGACAAGAGCATATATTTTGTAACTAATAATAGATGCCAGAAAAACAAAATTGAAATATAAAAATACACTGATGCTCAGCTTTTTAAAAAACAAAAAAGCAAACAAACAAACAGGTAAATTCCTAGTTCAATCTTAACCCAGCCTGTAGGCCTGATAACTGTTGTAAAAGAATTTATTCTCAGATAACAGGGCAGCATAGTTTATGACAACAATCTACCTAAAAACTCATTAAAGTCTTTTCTCTTGGAGTGACATGCATTATCAGCAGAGATTAATCTGATGAGTCTTTAGGTGAGCTCCATTTTTAAAAATGCAATAACAGAGGGCTTTGTTGTCATCTGATGAAAATCAATTAGAGGAGGTAAGGCCACAAGGAAAACTAACATCACTCATCACCCACCCCCGGCAGCTGAAATGATTTGTCTTCCAAGCTTGGATGATCAGGAGCTATAGTCATATTGCAGGGAAATTAATTTAGTTTCTATATTCTGAACTCACTTTCCTTGTTCTGGAGGACCTAAACACAAATTACTTTTAATCAAGGTTGATATGTTATTAATACCAAGGAGGATCTTTAAAGAATCATTTTTTTAAATCAAATTTAGCATTTTCACCTGTGTTTCGGGTATAAATATAGCAAGGTTACTTATATAACCCTTACTTTCCAGATTCTTTGTCCACTACAAGGCACTTTACTGAATGGCGAAGACAATAGATTCCACCGAACACAGCACACATCCTAGGAAGAGAATAGGAAAATGAGAATTAGAATAATTGGGTTGAAAATTAAGGTAAAAGTATTTTCCTTTAAGTACATCATCAGGCTCATAATCTTCTTGTTTCTGCCTCCCTAGGATTACAAGTGTGTGTCTCCACCCAGTCTTTCGTTTGAATTGGGAATTGAACTGGGATCCCATGTGGTCCCAGCAAGCAGACTACAATGTCTTAGCTAGCACATTGATCTTTAAAGGACTACACCTCAAAAAATGATTAAACCAATTAAATATGAGAAAGTGAGCTGAATAAACAACTCTCTAAGGAAGACATACAAATAGCCAAAAAGCATATGAAAAAATTCTCAACATCCCTCATCATAAGGGAGATGCAGATCAAAATCACAATGAGATATCACCTAACTCTAGTCAGAATGGCGAAGATTAAACAAAACAAAACAAAACAAAAGGTAAGTGCTAGCATGAATGTGGTGAAAGGAGAACTCTCCTGCACTGCTGGTGGGAATGTAAATTGGTCCAGCCACTGTGGAGAACAATATATGGAGGTTCCTCGAAGACTTACAAATAGAACTACCATATGATCCAGCAATTTCACTCCTGGGTATCTACCCAAAGGATATGAGAATGATCAGTCAGAAGAGTGCTTGCACATCTGTGTTTATTGTGGGATTATTCATGATTGCTAAGATATGGAACCAACCCAGATGTCCATGAACACATGAATGGATTGGAAAAGTGTGGCACATATACCCTATGGAATACTACTCAGCCATTAAAAAAACAACAAGACCCCCTGGCATTTGATAGAAAGTGGACGAATATGGAACATTTACTACTGAGTGAAGCAAGCCAGTCTATGAAGAGAGAAATTGTATGTCTCCACTTATCATATACCAATTGTCCATATTCTATGGTGGGAACTGAAAGATTAGAGGACATAGCAGCATTGAAAACGGTTATAGATAATAATGTGGGAAGAGGTGGGAGAAGGGGGAGACTGTAAGAAAAGAAGTTAAGGAGACAATGGAGAGGCAAGACATTTATGGGACACAAAATGGATTATTATCTGTTGATAATAATGTGTTTTTTATACTCAACTGGACTGGTGTGAAGTGTATTCATGTGGGGTAAATTCAATTTACAAGCTGAGCACTGTATAGTGATTAAATGTATAAAACAAATTTTTTTTTACAACACTACTTTAACCACACGATCAGGTGATGTACTAAAACTAATTGTACAGGGACCTCTTTATAGAGCAGAATTTCATACTGTCATTCAATTTCCTAAAAATTGTTCTGTTCTTTTTTTTCTCAATAATTAATGCAGTGTAAATTCTTAGCATTTTTTCGAAGATGTGAATGAAACTCTCCACCTCTTTAGAAAAGATTAAAAACATTTTGTGCTTTATCCTTCTGGGCTTGTTTGAAAGTGTTATGAATTTTAGTTTGTAATGACTGTCTGTAATTGAGAACTCTGTTTAATTATATAAAAATATGATTTCATTCTATAAATAAATAAATGAATAAATAATTTTTTTAAAAAACGGTGATCTCTAACCCACCTGCAGTGGCATGCACTGCTAAGACAATGTGCTCCTCAGGCTAGGATCACATGGAAGGTCTGGTTCAATTTCTGGTCCAATATAAAGGCAGAGCAAAGTAGCATATACATGTAATTCTGAAATTTTAGGAGAGGCTGAGGTAGGAGGATCACAAGCTCCAGGCTGGCCTGGGCAACATGAAGACTGTGTCTCAGAAAGTAAACTATTTACCAAAGAAGGAGAAAATAAATAAACAAATAATTGTTCTACTTTAGGCCCTGGGATGAAGAATATTATATATTTATAACCAATGGTCAGCCCTCATATAGGCTAGGGCTTTGAAAATATACCATTACCTAATCTAAGAAACATTTCACCAATAAAATATGAGAAGTGGCTCTGGATCAATGGTACACCTGGACACTTGATATAAGTAATTACTATAGCTTTCTGGATGAATATGACTTCAAAATAGGCTGTGTGAGATTGCTACAGATAGAGTATCTTGATAAGTTTATAATAAAAAAATACATACCACGTGAAAAAACTTACCTTACCCGGAGTGAAAAATCAGCTGACAAAATATATAGTAGTTTGTAAAATTAATATGCTTAAAATAAATGAATCAAAAACATAAGAAGGGAGTAACAGAATGTCCAGAAAGAAGACTAGTAGGCTGAATAAGGCCATCTCCCCACAAGATATCCACGTCCTCGTCCTAGGAGAATATTTTACCTTCCATGGCAAGAAGAACTTCGTAGATATGATTAAATTAATGACCTAGAGAGGAGATTATTCAGGTCGGTAAAATGTAACCACAAGAGTCCTTAGAAGAAGGAAGATGGAAGGTCGAAGTCAGAAAAGAATATGTAGACAGGAACAGAGGTCAGTGTAATGCCATTGCTGGAAGAGGGGCACATGGCGAGGAATACAGACATTCTTTGTCCCTTAAAAAAGACAAGAAACAGATTCTCCCCTAGAGCCTTAAGAAGGAATGTAGCCCTGGTGAACTACTTTAGACTTCTCTACAGATAGAGTATCTTGATAAGTTTATAATAAAAAAATACATACCACGTGAAAAAACTTACCTTACCCGGAGTGAAAAATCAGCTGACAAAATATATAGTAGTTTGTAAAATTAATATGCTTAAAATAAATGAATCAAAAACATAAGAAGGGAGTAACAGAATGTCCAGAAAGAAGACTAGTAGGCTGAATAAGGCCATCTCCCCACAAGATATCCACGTCCTCGTCCTAGGAGAATATTTTACCTTCCATGGCAAGAAGAACTTCGTAGATATGATTAAATTAATGACCTAGAGAGGAGATTATTCAGGTCGGTAAAATGTAACCACAAGAGTCCTTAGAAGAAGGAAGATGGAAGGTCGAAGTCAGAAAAGAATATGTAGACAGGAACAGAGGTCAGTGTAATGCCATTGCTGGAAGAGGGGCACATGGCGAGGAATACAGACATTCTTTGTCCCTTAAAAAAGACAAGAAACAGATTCTCCCCTAGAGCCTTAAGAAGGAATGTAGCCCTGGTGAACTACTTTAGACTTCTGACGTCCAAGAATTTAAGATACTAAATTCATTTTGTTTTAAGCCACTCTGTTTGTTACAGCAGCAATAGGAAACTAACAGAAAGACCTGAGCATACATGGAAACGATTATGACAGAAGTGGCCTTACAAATCAGTAGAAAAAGAATGGACCACTGAAAAAATGATTTGGGGACCAGAGGTTATACATACAGGAGAAATGATGACATCCATGCTTTACACCATATTTACAATCAATTCCAGATAGATAAAAAATATAAATGTAAGAGTTAAAATGCTTAGAAAATAATATATGAGGATATATTTATCAACTCGGGGAAAGAAAGATTTCTTCAATATGTTGCAAAAATTATAAGGAAAAAGAGTTTATTAGAGTACCTTAAAATTGTAAACATCTGTAAAAGAAAAGAATGAAAAGACAAGAAACAGACTCAAAATGGGATGTGAAGATACATTACTAATTGTTTAAAAATATCAGTTTGGATAACGATTTGGCAATATCAAGTAAAACTGAAGATGCATACATCTATAGTGCAGGAATCTATTGTTACGTATAAACCTTAGAAAAACCCTCAAACGTGGATACAAGAAAATATATGTAAAAATATTTGTTGCTTCATTCTTTTAAGGTAGAATAGCAAAATGGTTAAGAAGAAGGATTCTGACTGTCTGGCTATATATACCAACTAATCCACCTTATGACTGTGTGACCTTGAACAAGATCTCTAGCCTTTATGTTACTATTTTCCTCAGCTGTAGAATAAGAATAATATTTATTCACATAGGGATCTTGTGGGGAGTAAATGAATTAGCATTTTTACAGAAATTAGATAATACATGGCACATAATATTTTATAAGTGTTCATTAAATTTGACATAAATACCATAAACTTTAATACTATAGTGTATAAAATGTATATTGGTTTATTGTAAAAGTCATGACATAATAACTTTTCTGATGACCCAGTACATACGACAGGTTCTCACTCTATCTATTGGGCTGTCAGAAAAGTCACGACACATTTTTGCATAGAAAAACAGAAAATATACATCATGATTTTCTGACAACTATGTATGTGTGTGTGTGTATATACACATAGCTCAAACTAAAAAATGCATCAAGATATGGAATCAACCTAGGTGTTCATAAATGGATAAATGGGTGTATATACACAATGGGATACATCCTCTCACAAAAATTGAAGGAAATCCTGTCATTTCTAGCAACATAGATGAACCTGGAGGACATTACATTAGGTGAAATAAGCCGGGCACAGAAAGACAAAGACCACATGATCATATTCACATATAGAACATAAAAGAGTATAGAATAGTGGTTATCAGAGATTGGGAAAGTTGAGTGACTATAGTTAATAATAATGTATTGTATATATATAACTAAAAGAAAGGATTTTAAATGTCATCCAAAAAAAATGATAAATGTCTGAGGTGATAGATATGCTAATTAACCTAATTTGATTATTAAACAATGGATATTATAAATATAACACCATACCTCAAAACTATGTATGAGTATTACATGTTAATCATAAATAAAATTTTAAAATATTTTTCAAAGGATGGGGCCAGTAGGTGGTGTGATGGTTAAGGCACTGGATCCCTTCTGGCTGATTCCCAGTTCAAGTTCCAAACCTGATGGTTTGAAAAACATAGTGGGCACATGTGCATGCATACCCAGAATCTTGAAAGGAAAATGGAGAAGGGATTGAGGTGTGGCCATCTCCCTAGGGAATGATTTTTCACAACCCCCCAGTCTTTGGTGAGCACATATGACCTATGGGAAAAAATTTGTAAAATAAAAGATGTAAAGCATTAAATACACCAAAATGTTAACAATAGTTATCTCTAGATAGTGGGATTATAAATACAATTTATTTATTTAT